TCACGTGATCACGTGAGTGACATGATGCAAAAACCCTAACCCTAACACACTTTGTGATACCTAAGGTTATACTTTATGACTTAGGGTTAGGGTTAGGGTTTTTGCATCATGTCACTCACGTGATCACGTGATCATGATCACTTGAGGACATGATGAGGGATGGATGACTCATCAGGTCATGATGACGCCAGTCGTTCATATCAGATAGTTACCAGGGTATGTTCCGGCAGTACCCTGGGGGACATAGACCCTATGAGCAGTAGTACTACTAGGATTGCGCAGACGACTGACAGCCGTGACAGTGTCAGTGCCGCTCAAGGGGTCGTTGTCGTATCAGGTACTACAGATATGTACCCGAGGTACATATATGTATACACAAAGTGTACCTACTAGTACTACTACTAGTACTAGTACTAGTAGCAGTCACGTACGTGATCTCAAAGTGGCGAATTTGAGGAAAACAGCACATGTTCATGTTGAATTTTGGAGCATTTTTACATCGCTGTGGCTATATGCCCGGCAGCCGGGCACGGTCTTCAATTTCCTAAATGCCCGGCAGTTTCTAACCCTAATCCTAACCCTAATCCTTGTTTATTTGAGATAACGCTGAAAATTAAAAACTGCTGGGCATTTAGGAAATCGAAGACCGTGCCCGGCAGCCGTCACATATATATATATATGCCGGCTGCCGGGCATATAGCCAGTAGCCACTCTGTCTTTACATTATGATAACTAATAAATTTCTATAAGTATTATGGCTCATAATATTAATAAGCAGGAGATATTATCAAATAATTATGTTACAATCTATTCTTAGCATTTTAAGTTGACAATGGGTGGTTTTGAACAATGTTCATGTTGAACCACACCGACAAACTACCGCGAAACCGGCACACACTTGTTTTGTGACTAGTCAACTTTGATTAACGCGTCCCGCTATATGCAAGTATCTAGAAAAACGATCTTGGGCTTGTTTTAAAGGCCAGAAATAGGAGAATAGAGTGCAGAGTGAACGAAATTATGTCGTTTTAATACCCGTGGAGTTACCGGGTTATTTATACTTTAATGGCAAATTTCGTTTGATAAACGGTTAGTTGAAAAAAACGTTCACTCAATTCATGAAAGTATAGGGTATTGACAACAACTTACAAAAGTTTTTATAATGATCTGTTGTGTAATGAAACGGGACGGTTAAAAAATATACTGTTACCACCGTTTTCTAGCCATTGGCACAATGCCAAAACAGTCAAGCTGCTAGTGCTACCCAAGGAGCTAAATATAACAAGGAGAGAAAGCGCCGCCATATCTGGCCCAAATTTGGGTTTGGCAGAGACCCTACAACAGATTTAGTGTTCTATTGTCCTCTGGTTCGGTCTGCACAGGCCGTTTCAGCGAATTAGTGGTCCATAGATGGCGCGCCTGAGGCCCTTGCTCACTGCCGATTTCCAAATTTCTGTAGGAGATCCCCCAGACCCGCCACTCTGTTTCTCGAACCCCTCCTTGAAATCCTGGATCCGCCACTGCCCCCTAGGAATTGCTTCAGGCATACAGCCCTGCAGCGTTTACAATATTCAGATGATGTAAAAAGTTTTCAATATGTGCGCTGCTATCGGCTAGCACACCCCGTGCGCTAGCCGTTTACAATCACGTACATATACTTTTGAGTATAGTTCTCAAATGTATTACTCTTTTAAACATATACCACTGTGCACTGATACTGGTGTTTTATTCAGGATTTTTAAAAACTGTTTTACACATTACATTGCAGTGCTCGAAATAAGAAAAAAAATGCACCCAAATCCCCAATATCTCCTATTTCAATCACCTATAATAATATGTCAGAGAAACACCAAAAACAGTGGTGTAGCCCAGGATTTTTTTAAGCAGGGTGGCCAATAAACAGCAAACTGCGCAAAATGTATGGATGATTAAATATTTTAAATGCTGGCTCTTCCGCCTCGCCTCTCGCACACCCCTACAGCTCATTCTAAGTCTTCTCTGCAATCTTGTTTTGGGGCCATGTGAAAAGGCGACAATTTTTGTTCATTGTCTCTGCTCCAAGATATGTAATTGTTCAGTGGCGGGTCTAGGGATTCCAAGGAGGGTTGAAAAACAACGGGGGGGTATGGTGGTCCTCCCCCCAGAAAATTTTGAAACTGTAGATCGGCAGGAGATGGTAATTGCAAGCACTTTTGAGTAACAATGTACAAGCCTTCATTCTGACTACAAGCAATCTCTTTTTTTGAAGTTGTTCAGCTTTTCGCGATCGACATGAAACCCCACTAGCATGTTGTTTGTTTTGCATGGGCAAAGCCATCGAAAATTCAAAATAATAATGGAAAAAAATAACAAAAATGAGGGGTGAACTTTGCTGGTTTGCTGGTTCCAAAATCCGAGTTTCACCTCTCATAATCTCAGAAAACCTGACATAGTACCAGTGTTGTAAATAGCAGCTGGTATGGTTCGTTGCTTTCCCACACCAATAGATTATGGCGGACGCCAAGGCTATAAGTGGCTCATGGAGGAACCCCTGAGAAAAACATAAATAAAGTGCGTTTTTTCGTCCACACTTTTTCTTGGTTGTTCCACCGACAATGTCAAGACTGGCTAGGTTGTCCCGGCACACAAATTCTGGTTGTTCGAACAACCGGACAACGCTTATTTCGAGCACTGCATTGCACTCAGCGAATTCATTTATTGGGCTCTGTTGCGGAACTGTGTGGGAAATACCCTGCGCTATCACCCCCTTATCGCAATAAGCTGGTATGCTGTTGCAATAATTGCGCGCAATGAAACCCAAATTTTAAGTTGTATACGTGTACACGGCGCAATAGCTATCCGCCGAAACCAGGTAGATTTGTTACACAATGGACATGCGTGTAATATACAGCATACACACGTGCTCAGCCTTGAGATCTCGGCTGTTGAGAGTTTCGCGCCATCATTTCGTCTACTTATTTTATTGTTACCTGACAATGTCGCCTCCTTGAAATTTGAAATTTTGCTAGAAATTTCAAATTTTTTAAACAAATTTAGTCTCACGGTTTTAGGGTTTAAAGTGTAGGGTTTGGGGTAGAAATTATAGTTTAGGAACACGGTTAAGGTTACAATCAATATAGGTAATTTGGATTTACATTTTTATGCTGGCCACCCTTGACACCTACGGGCGAGTCGGTAGGAGCGAGATTGCAGGGGTGGGATGTCCATAATCCCGTAGGCCAACGTGTCGTAAGGTGCCATAATTTCATATACGTGCACAATGCATGTAGTAACACGTAAATACCAGTGTAATAGCAACTCTCCAGTGTAATAACGGAGTTTAATATGAATGGTGATAAACCCACGATCAACTACGCGCGTCTCCCACTCTGACTCTCCCGCTGCATATGTGGCACCACTACGAGCTAAAACTAAGTGACTCTGTCAAATTTCACATTATCTACCCTTGATACTATTTTCAGTAACCATAATCATTAGTGATATATATGGTTTTCTAGATACACGGCCTAATCTTGTAACGTTTTCAATGGCTCGATTAAGATTCCTGTCCTTTTGGTTTGAATCTGCTGTCACTTCGTCCCTTTGCTCTCTTTCTACGACTTCTTTTTCTTCTTCTACAACTTCGAAGGTACTTGGCACTCTCTCATTTCCTGCATGTTTTGGCAAGGAACATCCTGTCTGTTCCCTCAAGCAGTGCTCCTGCAGAGTGAATTTTCAGCAGAGGAGGACTCATAATGAGGCCTCATAGGGCACGATTGTCAGCTCAAATGTTAGAATCCTTGATGTTCTTTTTAAATGTAACAAGCATATACTTTAAGGAGCAATTTACGCCCATGCATTCTAATCATTTATAGTACAAAAAGCTTTGATAGATGAACAGTACACGGTGATTATACAGTTATTGAAATAATCTTCTGATAAGATAGTAAGTGTTTCACATTTGTGGCAAGCAACATGGACATTAAACGACTGCATTATTTGTGTAATGTGACTAATGTCATGTTACATGATAAACATGATTAGGCTTATGCAACTCTTTATGTGACATATGATATTAATTGCTAAATGATATTTTCAGGTGAAGCCAAGCCATTGTTTCTATCGACATGATTATATGTCTTTGACAGTGTGTAACTATGCGAACTTCATGGGTGATCTAATAAATCAAAGAAATAAAGGTTATGCTACTAAGTCTACAAGAAAGAACGTTCTGCTCTGTGCTTTTACTTTCTATTTCATGCAAACAAGTGACAGATCCAGGGGCAAGAGACACCCCCCATTTTTGAACAAACACATACATAGAAGTTAGCGGCCTTGTCGGTCTGTGCCCCCTATTTTTTTTAATCAAAACTGGACTCGGACTC